GCCCCTACATTTTCTAAAGTCAACACTAATGGGAGCTTCTCTGAGCATGGAGCAGGTATAAGGGGTGTTTTCAGGAATAAATTTGGAAAGTGTCTCTTTTATTTTTATTCTCCCATTGTTGTTAAGGATGCTTTGGAAGCTTAAGTGGCAGCAGTCTTTTTGGGCTATCAAGCTGGCTATTTTCAACCATTGGGACAACCTACAGGTGGAGATGAATTCCTCATTATTTATGAAGGCTCTCACTGTTGAGGATAGTCATCCCTGGAATATCTCTCATTACCTTAGGAAGACCAAGGCTCTGCAAATTTCCTCTCCCATTCTTTGTAATTTCATTTAGAGGGAGGGCAACCGCCCACCTAACTGGTTGGCTAAACTTGGAAATGCTTCCAATACTACACCTATTTTTACTACTCTCTCATCTTCTCTTTCTTATCTTTTAGGTGGGGACCTTCTGAATGTCCCCTATCTTAGATTTTGTAACCTAGAATTTCATGAATAGATTCCCCCCCCCCCTTTATCGAAGAAAAAGACATATGTGTCACCTATTAAGATCAGTTGCTCGGACATCCGCTTGTCAGTTGTAAGTCCCCTCTGGTCTGGGGTTCGATTCCCCTCAAGGGTAGGGTCTTGTACTCGAATTCTTTAACGCATGAGGTATAGCCAGGGCTCATATAATAGCCTCGAACAATTCTTTTTGAATATATATATATATATATATATATTGAAAGATTTACTTAGCATACCGCTCAATTCCTATGTATTTACATATATATATTAGTTAATCAAAGTTATGATTTAGTTTCCTCAAGTTAATAAAATATAAGAAATCGTCTCTTATTATTATGATAAAAACATAGTTATGATAATTTTTAACGTTATTTTTTTTTTTTTTTTGGATAGGATGAGAGCTTAAATCCGACAGTTTGGGATTCTTCACTTTAATCCGAATAAAATTTAAATTTATTGTATTCACTTTCTTATGAGTATAATAAATGAGTGCTTAATAAAAATTTATGCATTTTTGGAATTCACTATTCTATGAGTACCCCGGTCTGTTGGTTGACATCCTTGGTATAAGACCCCATGGTCAACAGTTTGAATCCCCTCTGACGATGTGGGGCTTAAAGAGGTGGACATGAATTGTTAGGCATATTAGGAGTGGTTGGAGGGTCTTATAATAACCTCTGGTCATTTCTTTTAATATATAGATATATAATTTTTATGCTTTTTTGCTTTCTTCATGCATTTTTGCTTTCTCCCACTTACATTTGTTTGATTTAGTTAATGGAAGTTAAGCTTTAGTTTTCTTAAGTTCATAATATATAAGAAAATCATCTCATATTGCTTTGATAAAAACATAGTTAACTTTTAGCGTTATTTTTTTTTCTAATTTTTGGATAAGATGAGAGCTTAAATCCGACATTTTGGAGTTCTTCATTTTGATCCAACCAAAATTTAAATTTATTGAATTCATTTTTTTGTGAGTATAAAAATGAGTACTTAATCAAGATTTATGCTACACTTATCTTAAAATAAACCTGAGAATATTGAGATTATCTATATCCATATTAGATATAATATCATGAACCACTTTTTTCCTTAAAATTTCTTATTCTTTGTTGAAAAAATAAAAATAAACAGAAAGTAAATTGAGAGAGATTTATTTGAAAATAGGAGCTTTTTTTTTTTTTTTTTTTTTGTTGCTTGTGCTTGCCCCAAAAATGTGGAAGAAATGCCAATAAGAAAGAAAGTACTACCAAAATTTTATGGTCTCGAATTGAAGGAAATTATTTACAATTTTAATTGAGGATTATATAGAGTAAAATTAATATATGAAAATTGCATTCTAATTTTTGTGGGAGATGCGCTGTTTTATCTTTATTCATATGTTTATCGGATTCTTCATATAATGATCTATATTTATCCATTTGAGCTTCTTTATTAATGAAATCCTGTTCTTAAATGTCTGAATATTTTCCAACAAGTCCAAATTCAAACGAACCCATCGGTCGAATGTTCACCTTTCTAACGGTCAAATTCTCCGACCCATCTGATTGTCACCCAACGGCCCGTTCTTCAAAAGCCACATCATAAAAATTTGAAAAAGGAAGAGAGAAAATAGCCGTTATTCCCGAAAATCATATAGATTTGGTTTCTTTTATTGCTCAGATCTCCTCCTCCATTTCCTAATAACTTAAAATTTCCATATGCTCTTTGCATTCTTTCTCAAATTCCCTCGAAAACCTAAGCTATTCAGTAAAGCATGGTAGCCGCAAGATCTTCTTCTCTCATTTCATCCAGACCCTCAAGCCCTAACCCTAACACCCTCCGCAAAAGTGGCACCTTCAATCTTTCCAGGTCCTGCAGCGGCTCAGGTAACCGGATTTCTTTCCTTTCATTAGTTTCTTTAGGATTTAATAAACTCTTTCCCCTCTCATCTATTGTTTCTTTGATGTTCTTAATGTCCTGTAGAAATTACTCGTAGGAACTCAACCTCCAATCCCACCAGCGCACGATCATCTCCACGTTCTTCCTTTGAGCACAACGAGAACCAGAGAGACCATAACCACTCCAAGGCAGCGAGATCGAAGTCCTCAGCCATCAATCCTTCCAAGGGCATGAAGAGCTTTATGGCCCCAACGATCTGTGCGTCTTCTAAGATCACTGCAGCATCTCCAAGGAAGAAGATTCTTCTAGAGAGAAACCAGGTAATGAATCTATAATGATCTGTTCTATTTCAAAGATGGAGGATTTTCGGATGGAATCAAAAATTTGTCGTGTACGTTTAGGTGGTTCGGGACTGTATGGAAAACAACGTTGTTTCAGCTGAAGAAGTGAAAGGGGGGGAGATCAAGCAGAAACCTGAAATTGATTTTGATTCTGAAGAAATATCAATTCAAAATAGGTCAAGAAAATTGGATTTTAGTAGTACCAAGAGTTATTACCAATTGTCAGCCACCGGATCTCTTGATGCTGCTGATTCGGATGCTGATCCATCTTTTCCTCCTTATGATCCGATGAAAAACTACCTTTCACCAAGGCCCCGCTTCCTTCACTACAAGCCTAATCCTAGGATTGAGCAACATCACGAATTCACCGAAAATTTGCTTTATATGGGAGACGCCAGGCGACTGGAAGACAGCTTCTCTGACTCTGAGGGCTCTGAGGATTGCAGTGGATACACTGAGCAGTCTTCGCCTCTGAGGGAACCTGACTATGAAATTTTGATGAAGACACAAGAAGCTCTAGCTCCTGAAGAAAATCACGTTTTTGAATCTAACCCTAGACCTGAAAAGTACAAGCCGAAAGCAAGTTGGACTGGAAGGTTTAAGCTAATACCATTTCTTTTGGTCTTTAGTGTTTTCTTGGTTTCTGTTCCCCTAATTGACTCGCCTATCCTTTCTCATTTCACCATGAAAGATCAGTCGTTAGCTGCCACTCTCACTAGGCCTTTGAGATTCATTCAAGATATCCATCTTTATGATTACCTTGATGTTGCCAGTAGGAATCTTCAAGGATTAGCTACCAGGATGAGGCAATGGTCAATAAATTCTATTCATTTTCTGATCTCTTCTGGTTCCTTCTCAAAAGAGCCAGACATATCTCACTCATTGAACACGTCTCTCCTTTCAATGGCTCAGAGTGCAACTTTGGATTTTTGCAGTAGATCTGACTTTGTGCTTCCTGGGCAGGATGTTATATTTAATAGACAAAATGATCTTTTGGATTACATAGAAATGGCGTTTGAACATGATAAGGCTGATGGTGAGACCTTGATGGGTAAATCAAAGGATGTTTCGGACAAGCCTGAAGTTGTGCTCTTTCAAAATGTTATTGGAGATAGCACAGAGTTACTGGACAGGAATATGGAAGAGAACAATAACCTCAAATACAATCAACTTAATTCCTTTACTGATCCTGCTGTTCAATTTGGAAGCATTAACAATATCGATCAAATAGATAAGAATGAGATTGCCATATCTGAAGAGTTTGATGGAGAAGGTGATATGGAAGAGCAGCTTGAAGAACAAGTTCTAATAGAGTTGGAAGAACATAAAATTCATCCCTTTAACAAAGAAGACATTAACTCCACTGTGTATCCTGCAGATGAGACACAGATATCAAACAAAAAGAACTTTGATACTGTACCTTATGCTTTTTCTAATGCTACGTTGTTGATGCTTGTAGTATTAGGAATGTTTGTTTCTGTCGCACTTGCTACCAAATTGATCTCTTTCTTTATAAATATAAAGAAGAATACCCCTACTTCTGATGAAAAACTTTTAAACAAGAAAATTAAATCAGTTTCTGACGGTGCAAAGAGTTGCAGACATGCTAATGGAGATTTTTGTTGTAACCGATTGGGACTTGCAGAGATGGTGTGTGATTCTGGTCCTACAGAAATGAGCTCCAGCTTTAACAATCATTTGTCCTTTAGCAAGCAGATGAGCAAGATAGAAAGTCATGATGTTACTCCAAGCCAAGAAAATATGCAGAGGAGAGAATCTGGAGTATCTTCTTCTATCCCTTATGGAAGTTTCACTTCTTATGAAAAACGCTCTAGAAAGGTAAGTTGATTATGTACCTCACCCTTTGTGAAACTCAATGCTTAAAGATATTTGTGATCTGCACCCTTAGTTTGTGAAACTCAATGCTTAAAGATATTTGTGATCTTAAAAGTTTTTAATCTTGATTTAGGGCAAGAAGCAGGAGGAAGTTGTGACTCCAATCAGGCGATCGAGTAGGATTCGGAATCAAGTTTCCTCCCCATGATTGCAACTTTTATGCTGAACAGCTTGATAGTAGCATTTCTTTAGGATAACTGACTCTATATGATGGTATTTGTTTTTCTTCTTTGTAGTTGGATCTCAAATCTCAGGACTTCTTGTTTCTTGCTCTTATGCTAGCTGCGTACCAAAACATCATGGTTACTGCACTTGATTTGAAGAGGAAGATTTGTGCTGCTTAACTTTGATTTTCTTTCGCTTCATTCTATGATTGTGACATTATTATGATCAATGAAAGAGGCATGAGTGGCAATGGATAATAGCATTTCTTTAGGATAACTGACTCTATATAATAGCATTTCTTTAGTATTTATTTTTCTTCACTGTAGTTGGATCGCAAATCTCAGGACTTCTTGTTTCCTGTTCTTATGCTAGCTACTTGACATAACATCATGGTTACTGCACGCTTGATTTACAGAGGAAGATTCGTGCTGCTTAACATTGATTTTTTTCAGCTTCACTATGATTGTGGCATTACTATGATCAATGAAAGAGGCTTGAGTAGCAATGGATATTAAAAGGTAAACCATAACTTCAATGAAAAAAAATTATTTCTTAGTGATCAAAATACATAACTTCCAAAATATGAAAAAGCTATTTATCACATCAGATTAATATAATCATCTGAAATACTATAAAGTTTATTCCAAATTATAGATTATAAACTAATGAAACATATAGAAGTATTAGCAAAATAGCCCCAACTAAGAAAGAGCCAACTTATCTATCTCTTAGCATAGCAATCACATAATTAAATAGAATCTTGATGTCATTCAACATTTCTGTTATAACTCTAGACTTTGTTGCTCCAACAAATGTGTTAACCTATGTTGATATGACGTGATGCAATACAAGTTTAATTTGGTCAAACAATGATGATTATCTACCGAGTGACACTGCACAAAGAAATTTAAATATCTCAATCCAATAAAAGACCTATCAAATGCATGGACTAATTGTAAAACATATTTCATTGATGAGTTAAATATTGTGATTATTTAAGAATAATTGCAACAAGTGTCACACATCACATAATGAAAGAGGCAAGAAACTTAATCAAAATCACTCAAAACATCATCAATTTAGAATACTAAGAGTGTAAATGTGTTTAGAACATTGAAATTATTAAAGAAATAACTACTATGATCAATTCAATTGATCACAATGGAATCAGCTGAATATATCTAGGGGTGGAGCCATAGATTTTTTTCTTAGTGGAGGCACAAATTAATGATTTAAAAAATAGGCTCAATCATTTTTATTAGATTTGGGACCGACATTAACAGCTATTAAGAAAAATAACCAAACATAATTTTATTATAAAAGACTATTATGTCATTAACTTAATGAGATTTTTATAATCAAATGCAGGTCTATCCATGATTTCTAATATTATATAATTACTAGAGTAATAGAAGTAGAATATTTATAAAGATGGTTTTTCACCATCGATATTTGCTAATAGTCTCATATGTATTTAAAAAATGGTGTATGTATTTTAATTAGTCATCTAAAAGAAGTTAATAAACTAATTATTTATCAAGTCATAGTGATATTCATCAATTAATCATTTATTAGAGTAATTAATAATTAATTAAAAGTTTTAAAATTAATCAAATTTTAATATATAATTTAATTTTTTAAATTGATTACAAAATAGTTGTACTTGTGCTAACTGGGTCCATACTCCAAAGGTAGGTATCTACCCAATCCTCGTTAATGTATTCTGTACACCACTTATCATCAAATAATTAAAGCAGGTATCTACCCAATCCTCATCAATGTGTTTGTACACCACTTATCACTAGAAACACCTCCTTTTATTCGAAGTCTCTTCAAGAAACACAAAATGTACATCGTCTATCACATGAGACGTGCTTCCTTTTTATTCAAGATGCTTTCAGAAAGCTTCAAATTTTAAGAATGAAAAGAAGATGTCCCCATTGTTAATAAGGTTGAATGAAAAGAAGATGTCCCCATTGTTAATAAGGTTATGCTCCTAAGTTAAAGTGCTTCCACCTCCAACATTTAGCAATGGGTTAGAAATCTGCTCTCAACTTACTTCACCTGTTCAAAGGAAGGTGTCACAAACTCAAACATTAAAGGAACGGAACATGAACCTGAGATTACCATGAAATAGAAGCCATGGATGTCAATAATATCCATATTAGTGAGGATCACGATAAAAGTATGAAAGAAAGTGATGTTAAGAGTAAAGGAAATTGATATTAATGAAGAGCCCGTATACCTCCTAGTTGATTTGAAGGATGTTAGAGGCAGACATATTGATAAAATGCCAAGTGAGTTGGACCTAGCATTAAAGAGCTCAAGGAAGAAGATGAAATCTTAGAAAGTTCTGAAGGAAATACCACTATCATGATGGTTAAAACCAAAGCCTCGCTAATAAAGCGATAAGATGAAACAAACCTATTAAATGTTATGGTTGAGTACGGTGTTGCACCATAAATAGATCAATAACTTTTAGTTCAAATAAGCTGGAGGGATGAACATATAAAAAAATTAAATAAGAGAATGAAAAAAAATAATGAACTCTAACCTGTAAGTCATATTTCAATCCCAATATTAGTATCAATGTATAAAAATCATCAAGTTGTTGTAGTTGAAGAATATCTCCCAGCTAACGCAACTCAACATATTTTTTATGAGCTAAGACAAAAAGATGAGCAAATAGAAAGGCTACAAATGAAAAATGGAAGAAGTAATAGCTTCAACTCCTTTGATCAAGAAGGGCAAAAAATAGAAGCGCTAATAGAAAGAATTGACCTAAAAATAAGCATTAACTTAAAAAAAACCTAAACATTAGCATTAACTAAAAATTAGCATTAAATTAACTAACATGCACACAAAAATTATTTATTTGTACACAAAACTTGGTAGTGCTTGAAACTTTATTTTTAAATTTTCATGATATTTATTATCACTTATAATGACCTTGGAAGTAAGTTTAAGAATTATATGACATAATTTTTTTTAGTGAAATTTTTTATTTCAAATTTTCATGCATGAATTGTGCTCCATGAACCCTAAAATTATTATTTTCTTTCTAGACAAATCCAATCATAAGAACTTATTCCATAAGTTGCATTTTAATCATAATCACATATATTGATGCATATTTTATGTGCAATATTACATTTTGGATATTCATGCATGTAAAATGATCTTACATACAATATTTTTAATGAATCATTATTTTTTAAAATAGTTTGCTCGAGGATGCTCAGAAAGTCAAAATCTTTCAAATTAACTCCTTGACGCCTAAATTGAACTTTGTTTGGTTGTCCGTTAAGCTTTTAATAATTTAGATGACAATTTTGATAATAAAAAGAATAAACATAATAATTCACCAAAAATAAATATAAATCAAAACCAAACTTCAACTAAAGTAAATATGAGATAAAAAAAAAATAAATTTAATACTTCCATTCAATGTCCACAAAATTTTTTCTCTTCATGGATGGGACCCACACTTTGACCGAAAATATCTGCAGATGGGGCATGCTTTGTTTAACCAAAACCAATTGCACAGATGAATTCTCCAAATTTATTGAACAAAATGAGCCGAGGTCAAAATTTTGACCATAGCAATCCCCAACCAGCCATAATCATCTAATAACCACTACAAATTGAAATATCTTGAGGTAGAGACCACTTCATCAAAACCCAATTACACCACTGAATTCCATATAGGCCTACTTTGACCAAAATCAATTGCACTGATGAGTTTCCAAACTTTTTTGAATAAAATGAGCCAAGGTCAAAATTTTGACCATTGTCATCCTCAACCAGTCATAACCATCTAACCACTACAAATTAAAATATCTTGAGTTAGATGCCACTTTATCAAAACATAATTGCACCACTGAATTACTTATATTTTTCTCTTCCAAATATGTTAGGGTTTTATTTTTGGCCATAACCAAAATAAACTGCCTTTCTAAATTCAAACTTCCCTACCTTTTTTCTTTTTTAATTCCCCCCATTTCTTCTTAACACTCCTCCCTTCAAAACCATCACTATTTTTACCCTCTCATCCAACCAAGCACTCATTCTCTCCCTCCCATTTTCTCTCACCTAAATCCACTTCTTTCCTCTCCAGTCCAAGCTGAGCCCTCCACTTCACCTCTCTGAAAAAAAATCAAGCCATCCCAATCTACTCTTCCTTTTACTCTCTCCCTCTCATTCCACCACATAAGGCCAAAAATGGCTCCGAGGAAGGCACATCCAAGCAAGCATCCAAGGTCAATCCACTAAGAAAGGTATAAAATTACTTTTTCCTTCTTTTTTCTAATTTTATTTCAAGCTCTTTGCATGGCATGACTAGTGAAATTGTGATGTGAAATCATGTAACAAAATGCAGCCCATCTGGTGGGGTTTTTTAATAGTATCCACCATAGATCTCAAAAAATGTACATCTAAATGATCAGATATAATCTGTAAAGAATAATATACCACCCAAATGGATGAAATATTATCTTGAAATTGATCTAATCATTCAGATGATGAAAATCATTCGTGATTATTGGTCTACGTAAATAAGGTTCTTTTTCCTTTCTTACAGGTGTAAGATAAGTTTTATTATAAGATAGGTTTTTTTATTCTGAGGTCTAGTATCCATATAAGGGTAAGCCTTAGTAGTTATTTACATTTTCAGAACCATGAACTCCAAAGATAAATCTCGATTAAAATAATTACTTATGTTATTGACAGCGACTTTATATATGCTTAAAAATACAAGATTTTTATACCGCTGCTAGAAGATTTAAATCACCGACAACGACGCCAAAAACTTGATGCAACTTTTAATATGCAAGAATTTATGAATCCAAATTTATATATTTATAATGATTTTGTAAAGTCACAATTTCAAACGGAAGTATACGTATCGCTCAAGTAAGACAGGACTCTAGTGGAGTCCCGTTTATCGATTCTACAGGGAAACGAGGTAAGCTGTCCTTAGTCAAATTCTAATCTACTACAATTAGTCCTTAGTTTGGAATGTCGATTAAAATGATGTTTTATCTAGAAACTACTCCTAAATGAAAGTCTTAAGTTTAACACAACCAATAACTACTCCTAAATGCAAATATTAATTCTAAAGATAGCCCTTTTTGGATGAATTGGTTTGGAGAATTTTGAGATATTAAAAACTACTATTCTTATGTAATGAATTGGATATAATGAATTTATATAATGAATTGGATAATGTAAGGGAATGAGATGTATTAAATTTTGTATGTGCCAAATAGGAGCAATCCTATTCTTTACCCTTTGGTCCAG